GAGGGAGAGGGAGAGAGAGAGGGAGGGAGAGAGGGGGATAGGGAGGGGAGAGAGAGAGGGGGGAGGGAGAGAGAGGAAGGGAGAGGGGGGAGGGAGAGAGAGGAAGGGAGGAAGAGGGGGGAGAGAGAGGGAGAGAGAGGGGTGAGAAAAGAAGGGAGAGAGAGGGAGAGAGAGAGACACACACAGAGAGAGAGAGAGAGAGAGAGAGAGAGAGAGAGAGAGAGAGAGAGAGAAAGAGAGATATTTCTCCAAGTCATCTTTGTCATAGTGGAAGATGAATCATATTTGAACAACACAATTTGTCTTGAAGGATTAAACAACAGCATTATAAAGTTTGTGAGTAGGGAAGAAGGATAGAATCTGGAAAGAGTTGGGGAAAATAGGTGGATATGTTCAATTCACATTGTAGTGAATTCTTAAAGGTCTAGTTAAAAAAGAATTTGAATAAATTTGAGAATATTTTGTCTAACAATTTATGTAATTAATGAAGAATGACAAGTAATAATGTGAAAAGAAATAAATATTTTGTACTGGAGAGGTGGTTTAGTAAAGTACGAATGAGCTTGCTAACCTACGTTCATATTCTCAGCTTCATTATAGAGAGATGGACAGGAAAGTGCATGCCTGTTTGTAAGTCCTGTGTTGTGGAACAGGGACAAAGGGACAAGATGAACCCAGGAATTCATTGGTCTGACAGTCTAGTCACCATTTGAGAAGATTCAGTCAAAGTCACTGTCTCCAAAAGTGTGGTTAAGAGCTTTGGCTCCCATATGCTCAAATATAGCTTAGTCCAACCCCACAGAGATGTATGTACACAATACACAAGAACAAACATACACACAGAACTACAAAAAATAATTAGTTTAAAATTAAAATATTTAGTTCATGATGCTATGGTGGACAGAAATATTAGTTTGTCCTGATATGATGAAGTTGGCAAAGGTATGAAGAAAGATGAAAATAAACTCACCCAGAACAACTTACAAGAATTAAACAGATTGAAGAAGTTGAAGTAATGTTAAGTTTCAAAAATACTCATGAATAACGTGACATCTCAATAAGGTGATATCTCAATCATCTTGTTTTTAAACCAGGGTCCATCAGTATTGTAATGAGTCTTTGAGGTTCAAGATAAAGTGTTTTGGTATGTACATTGCTTATGAATATTAGGGAAGGAATCTCAAGTCCACCTCATATTTTTCCAAATGAACTTTGGAAGTGTAGATCAATCTAGCTACACTTCAGTTTGTTTTTTAAATAAGGTAAAACAAAAACATGGTTAACAACACACACAGAGTATCTTAAGAAAACATTTAAGGCACCCTCAACACTTGCTACTTCTATCCTTACATTGAGTCTACAGTTTTTTTGATACCTGTATAAGAATCCCAGTCTTACAAATTTATCAATATAATCACTTATATGAAACTCTCCTGATAACATCTTATTATAAATCCTCCAGAATAGCAGTTATTAGGTTTATATGACTTGTGTACACAAGACTACTGTTACTGCCTTCTCTATATAAACTTTTCTAGAAGCTATACTCAAAGAGAGAAATCCTTGGTCACATGAAAATGTTAGCTACAGTACTCTATGAAGAGGGGGCATCAGCACAGCTAACTATGATTCGTTCACATTAAAATTTAATAACTTTGAACCTTGCAGTATAACAAAGTGTTGACACTGAAATTGATCTCCATCAAAACTCACACATGTCCATTATTAATAACCAAGGCTCCCTCTACCACTGGGTTCAATTAATTGATACTGCAAAACTATGGATATTTAATTAGTAGATGATCATTGATATCTTGATAGTTTCTTATTATAAATAGGATAAATATAAAATAAAGCTTTATTTCATCAATCCAATTTTATAAAACAAGTTATATACTAGATGAGATTGGATCATTGTACTATAATAGGAAACTGATGAACTAGGAGGTTCAAACCTATTATTTCTTGTGCCTCTGCAGAAAATTCCAGTTAGTGGATATAATAATTAACAAAATAGGTAGTTAAACATGTGGCTTCTCATGATTCCCTTACAATATAACAAAAAAGATGTCTAGGGAGAATCTGGAAACAAGAGAAAGTGGAAGGGCTAGAGAAGAAATAGCAAGGGAGAGAAATGGAGAGGAGAAAGTGGAGGGGAAGGGAGGGGAGGGGAGGGGAGGGTTGCCAAAATGGGAAAGTCTGGAGAGAGTGGAACTTTGAAATCCCAGAAAGGTGATCATTCACAGGTGAAGTGATGTGACAGTCAAATGAAGGAGAATAAATGATACACTTATTTATTATTTATTGATATTTGCTTGTGTATGTGCAACTGTGAGAGTGTACACACATGTGATGGGGGCACAGCTACTGAGCAGAAAACTGAACTGAGTGTGCATGGTGTATGTGGATTGCCTTGTTTGCTATGCTGAAGCTGAGATGTAAACTCTTGTTCTCATTGTGTGCTGGAAGATTTGTTCAGCACTGAGCCATCTCTTCAGCCACCAGAAAATCTTTAAATCTTGCAGAATTTGGTTATTATCACAGTAATTATTGGAATGATGCTACTATGCAGAAGAAATTTCCAAATCACAAGCAGGGAGTCAAATTGCATGGTGGAGTTTTGGATGCTCAATCAGTGTGAAAGTGTAATACACAGAACAACAGGCACAGGAAGAGAGCAGGGAAGATTACAGTTGCTGAAACTCCGTTTTTCTTACTCTGGCAACCTTTCCTGCTTGAACATTTTTAACAAATCAAGTAAATTGCTGGATACCATGAATGCACAAGCTATTTCCCAAAATGCTTTTCATATATCGTTTGGGAAAAGTATAAATTATTTTAGACTATCTTGGCACCAAAGAAGACAGGCATCTACTAGACCAATATACTATTGCAAGAAACAGTACTCCCCTGTGATACATTTCTGCAAACTGGATCATTTCATCTGTAATGCTAAGCCATTAAGCACACGCCAGTTAAGATCTATTGCTGGGAAAATCAGTGATGAGACATCTTAAAATAAGTTTGTTGTTTATGTTCAGGTTATTCAGCTATATACAGAGCTTATATCCCAAAGCCTTAACACAGTAGAGTAAACATGTATCATGCAGTGCCAATTATATGCAAACATTTGTGTTGCTTCATAGTTCTAGGTACTGAAAATTAAAAGTTTATTTTTCCTGTAAGAAACTACAGTGGATGTGGAGGTGAAATTACTGCCTCGGATAGTTTTTCTGGGTTTTGCTATGCTAGTTTTACATAATTATTTAATTTGAAGCAATGTTCAGAATTTTTGCCATGGCAGAACTGGTGAATTTTAAGGTTTCAAGATCATAAAATGTCTTTATCCTTACTGGTTTAATTCCTATGCTTGCATAATGTGCTTGAAATAAATAAATAATACAAGAAAGTAAAAACTGCTTCTAAACATTGACTGTAAATGAATATTGGACTTCTCTTTGGAATGTGGGATTTTCACATTTCTCCAAGATCGTCAGTTCTAGACTCATCCTACTTTCTCTTAAATTCCTGTCAATAACTCAGAATTCTTAGGGAGCTCTTGATTTATTTAAATAATCAGGTCTAATGACAAGATATTAAGAGACTACAATAGTGCCATTTTTAAAGAAAATATAATATATCCTCAGTCAGAGCTTAAATTTCCAATCCTAAAAAAACAAGCCAAAAAAAAAAAACAAAAACAAAAAAACCTTATCAGCTTTAGTTTTGAGAATTAAATGAGTTTCATCTCAATGGTTTTTTTTTGAAACAAGGTAGACTAGAAAATATGATCCAAATAAACAGAGTTGTCAATCAAGATAAAAAAAGTCCCTAAAATTTCAAACATAAACCCACAGCTGTGAAGAGTTTGGGGGAAGCTGACACTGAAAAGTGTATTGTCACTATGAGAATCTCTTGAGACCTTAGGACCATCAATGACCTTTGTTCCTAAAGGTGGCTGTTACAGTTCTCAAAGGGGTATCAAGACATATTAAGATTACTTCTAGTGATTAGCTTCAGTGTCCCTCCAGTAAGAAGATGGTAGAAAAGAAAAGCATATATAAAGCAATGAATATGAACCAAATGTTATAAACATATAATAAAACACACTGCTTTGCATGCTAATTTCAAAATCTTGTATTTATGATAATAATACATTTTGTCTTGATGAATAGAGTGAGGGTCAACTGTACATCACAAAGAAAGTGCAGCAAAAAGAAAAAAGGTGCTGTTGTATATTTGATCTCAGTCTCAAGGAGATACAGATGACTGACAGGACAATCTGAAAGTTGCCATTGTCAGGTTATGATATTAGGTGACAAAGACTCTACTATGAAACCCAATGACATTCTAAAATCTAGATTCAGAGATTGCTTATGGAGAATAAAGATGTGCTGCTTAAAACATGAAAGTAAATAAATATGAGCCTAAACCCTTTGTGATTCAGCTTCAAATACTGTTCTATCATTCATAAGACAGAAAAGCCAAATTCAGAGATGAAAGAGAGACAGGCAAACAGAAAAGAAACAGCAGAAGCAGAAAAAAATAAAAGAATAAAAGAGGGTGAAAATAAGACAAACACAATAGTCCTGTGACAGATTTTAAAATAAGCATGACAGAACAGATATGAAAAGGAATATGAGACAAATTCTTGTAACAATTATAAAATGATTACAATGGTAACAGGATTAAAACATCTTCTTTAATATACACATTTAGTATTCAATGTGGCCAAAGAGAAAAGTCTAGAGGGACTGTTGTAGATGTAACCAATCGTCTTTTTAAAATAAGAAACACAGAGCCAATGTAAAAGAGAAAGCCGAGAGGTCAGAGCTCAGAGATAAAATCTTACCTCCTGCAGTGCTCCTAGCTTCCCCGAGAGAG